AGTGAGTACAAATAGATGAGTACAACTAGGTGAGTATACACACACACACACACACACACACACACACACACACACACACACACACACACACACAGGGTGGACAAAGACAAACTCTTCAGCACGGGTGGGACACGAACAAGGGGACACAGGTGGAAACTTAGTACCCAGATGAGCCACAGAGACGTTAGAAAGAATTTTTTCAGTGTCAGAGTAGTTAATAAATGGAATGCACTAGGAAGTGATGTGGTGGAGGCTGACTCCATACACAGTTTCAAATGTAGGTATGATAGAGCCCAGTAGGCTCAGGAATCTGTACACCAGTTGATTGACAGTTGAGAGGCGGGACCAAAGAGCCAAAGCTCAACCCCCGCAAGCACAATTAGGTGAGTACAATTAGGTGAGTACACACACACACACAGCCAACACCAACAGCCCCCAGCAAACAGAACGAAACACACTTGGACAACAGCTGAACCGGAAGCACAAACAAAACACAAAAACACATTGCCAACACCAACAGCCCCGTGATGCACAAGTGAGCACCTCACCTGAGCCCAGAGAACAGCTGTTTGACCGGATCGTAACAGGAGGGTAGACAGGTTGAATGAAGGGAATGACAGGAGGAAGGTAGAAATGAAGAAGAGGTTCCAGGTGGCCCTCAGTCAGTCCCCTGGCGGCTGTAAATACCAGTTAGTGAGAATTAGAATCCTTAAAACTAGTCTATAAAGAGAAATTAGATCCTAACATTCATTTGAGATCAAAAGCCACGAGAACGATTGTGTGTGATCAGGTTCAGTAGGTGATTCGTGGTGGCTGTTTGCTAGTTTATTGTTGTGATGGGAATTTGCCCATTGAGTACCTGCCTAATGGTTAAATTCGTCTTCAGGAATAAGCAATGTTGTTATTCATTAAATTACAATGCGCCTTTCATTGTAAATTTTGTAGCTTATGTATCCAGGTGTATGTACTTGTGTCTAGTAGCTGCAGAACTCAGAGATGGCGAAGAGAATTTGGAGAAGCATATTATATATCAGTAAATATATAAAATACATAAACCAGTGTGGTCATGTGTACTTGCGTAAGGTCATTGACTTCGATCTTAGACTTCACTGTCTGGGAGATATTTCTCAACATTTATGGGGTTCTGAATCGTTATTTGGGACCTAATTCAACCTCTTCTTTGATTCAGTCATAAGACTTATCACCCTCTGGAGGGTGATTAAGGCCACCACAACACCTTTCTGACCAACCAACAATTATACATTGATATATATACATGTATAATATATATATATATACATGTATATCTTTGTCCTGAACATTGTCCAGAGACAAAGTAAACTCTCAATGTTTGTATACTGACAGGAAGGATACACCTTTGTGTATTTAACCCTTTGCTGTCTTTAATCAGAATTGTTGTTGTTGTTACAGATTCGCAACCTGGAACAAAGTTCCAAGTAGCACGGGTTATGGTGAGCCCGTAGTAATTTTTAATCAATTTTTGGTTTTAGTTAGATGTAGCGATTTTAATCAAAAGTCGTGGACCATTAACTTGATACTTTTTTGCGTCTGTTTCCATATGAATTATTATAATAATTCTTGACTCATAGACCTTAATGGTGCGCGTGAAATGGGAAAGAGAGAGAGAAGACGTGTATTTTCCAATTATAAATCGCTACGGAAAGAAGAAAATGTAAGGAGCTTGCGCTAAACATGAGTATATTTGCGAATAGTAAAAAATGCCGTTTAGTTACTGGAGAATTTCGACAAATTCCAGTTAAATGTTATAAATGTTATTCCAGTAAATGTTAAAAGTTAACGGTCATAACACAACGGTACTAAATAACTTTTTTGTGCGTTTATGGAGAGGTGATTGTGCAACACGTTATCTTGATTTCTCTAATGTACAAAATCTAGCCTCCTAACCTAATCTGTAACGTATGAACCCAAGCAACCCACCTAACCTGATCTACCGATGCGTCGAAAACGTGGATAAATTAAGGTCTTGGTCAGACCATTGATGTATATCTTTGAGTCCGGACTCCAGTAACAGTATCCAATCAGAAGATTTACAGGACTCGGTCTGTTATTACGATTTGACAAACGTCATATGTTTGCCTATTCTAAAACGTCAAATAAGTGGTTTTACCTAACCAAAAACGTCAAATAAGTGGTATTGCCTAACCAAAAACGTCAAATATGGGGGTTTTGTCGTGCCAAAAACATCAAATAATTGGATTTGTCTAATTAAAAGCATCAAATAAGTGATTTTGTCTAATTAATAACCATCAAATAAGTGATTTTGTCTAATCAAAAATGTCAAATAAGTTGCTTTCCTAACCAAAAACGTCTTATAAGGTGTTTTACATAACCATAAACATCAAATAATTGGTTTTGTCTAATCAAAATTGCTCAAACCAAGTCAACTCACGGAACCTAGCGATACCTTTGATCATCAGTTCGAGTGAATGTAAAAATTGTGGCGCTATTAATTTCAATAGAGCACGGGAATTTTGAGGCAATGGTCAACAGCGTTAAAATTGCAAATTTAAGTGCAGCACTCCGGCTTGGTCAGGCCAACCAGTTACATGTGTGAGCTGAAGCAGAGGATGAGGAGGACAGCTTAGTGAATCCCTTGGTCATGCTGACTCAGGATGTTAACTGAAGAGGCACATGTCATGCAGGGACTTGTCATGGACCAGCCCCCAGCTGTCCTCTATAGTTTGTCATGGACCAGCCCCCAGCTGTCCTCTATAGTTTGTCATGGACCAGCTCCCTGCTGTCCTATATAGTTTGTCATGGACCAGCCCCCAGCTGTCCTCTATAGTTTGTCATGGACCAGCTCCCTGCTGTCCTATATAGTTTGTCATGGACCAGCCCCTGCTGTCCTATATAGTTTGTCATGGACCAGCTCCCTGCTGTCATCTATAGTTTGTGTCATTCAGGCGACTATAGTCTTCTGCTTTCCTGTATAGTTTCATAGTTACTGAATTTTTATATCCACCAATTATAAAATATAAACATTTAGCTAATTTAACCCACAGGTACAAAACTCCTGTTTTTGAAAATACTTTTTAATATTTGAATATCAAATAAATGCTTAAGAATATTATACCCAAACAGAAGCACAGGAATTTGATTTTTTGTCTAGAAACAAAAGTAAACGTCTGAAATGCTAATGATGATCCAGGAACAGCGATAATCTGTTAGTGGTAAAACCTTGCGAAGGTTTTATAGAGCATGGTCAATATATTGCATATGCGAAGCTTCGTCTAAGGCTTAGGCTAGGAGTTGTTAAGAGTCAGACAAGGAGGGGAACTGCTCTTAAGAGTCAGACAAGGAGTGGAACCGTTGTTAAAAGTCAGACAAGGAGTGGAACTGCTCTTAAGAGTCAGACTTGGAGTGGAACTGCTCTTAAGAGTCAGACTTGGAGTGGAACTGCTCTTAAGAGTCAGACAAGAAGTGTCTGTATATACAGAGGTGCATAATGTTTACATAATAGTTTAATATATTAATTTAAACCTTAAGCTAATAATATTTAACATGTATTTTTATATACAATAAATTAATTGTCAATTTAAATATTTACAAAGTGCATATATATTTAGATTGAAAAAAATAGATTAATAAGATCATAAATTATCTAAAAGATTAAATGGACATGCAATTATTTTTTAAGTTTAATTAAGAAGTTTATATTTTGATAAACATATGGGGGTTTATTTAACATTCAGGGGGGGTTATCTAACATTCAGAGGGGTTATCTAACATTCAGGGGGTTAATTTAACATTCAGGAGGTTTGTCTAGTCATTCATCTCTGTCACCAGATTATTATTAGTGTTAATTTATTATTCCAAAATGTATCATTAATAGTTTTCATTAACAAGCTCTTTTGTTTCTCCTTTATCGCGTCTACTCCTATTACCTCGTCCTTTCATGCTGGGAATGATTTAAGAGCCGCCTCATATTCACCAATAGGCCTCCTGCAGTTTTATTTATTCTCTTGTTCTCATTTCCTTTCTGTTATTCACTCACTGGCATAAAGGCTCTCTGATTCCTTATACCATTCCTTGTGCTACTTATTCCTTATAACTCAGTGTACCTAATGCTGCGTTATTCCTTATAACTCAGTGTACCTAATACTGCGTTATTCCTTATAACTCAGTATACCTAATACTGCCTTACCTCCTTAATGTGTTCAATCATGTTCCAGCACACATTCGTTCGCTAGAACTGGTTTGTTCGTCAGGACATATTCGTTCCTTAGAACAGGTTTGTTCAGCATACATTCATTCACTAGAATAACCTTTTTGTTAAGCACACATTCATCCGTCTGTGACTGAAAACAAATGCGTGAAACCCATTTCATACATCTATTCCTTTTTAAACCGTTCCTATTGTATGCCAATAATTAACCATAACACTATCCTACTAAATGCCAATTATTATCCTTGAACGGTTCCTAGTATATACCAATTATACCATTCACATTTCCGAACACTCTAGCCGATTCTGTCATGGGTTTAACAACTTTCGTATCTCAATTTCTTAATCTCAGGTTACTTCTAAATTCAAATGGATTTGATGAAGGAGAAATTATTGAAGTTAGTTCTCTTGGCTATGAGAAATTATTGAAGTTATGCAATGGGATCATACTCTCGTCCCTGGGTTCGTTGTGTAAATATTTCTATTCTCACTTTCCAAAATTTATCACAATGTACTGACACGAGATGAAGAGGTTTAGATGCTTGCTTTACGGTTAAGGGGATTGTGGGGGACAGAGAGGGGGGAAGAGAACTATCAGGGGGGGGGGGAAGCGCCAAGCCATTACGACTATATACCACTGGGAAGGGGTCAGGATAAGGATTTGGGATGGGACGGAGGAGAAAGAAATAATGCCTAACCACTTGGACGGTCGGGGATTGAACGCCGACCTGCATGAAGCGAGATCTTCGCTATACCGTCCAGCCCAAGTGGCATAGGTGGATGAGTATCTTACCTGAAGTGCACGCGAGAGCAACGGTACCCAGACATGAGAGAAACATCAGAAACACTGCGCTAAGGAAGCCTGCTTTAGTTGGCCATCTGCGCCCTTTTCTGCGCGTTCCCGGTGACATGACGTCTGCGCAGCGCACTGGCGCCTCTCTTCTCATCTTGGACATTGTTAAGCACTCCTTTCCGTTCCCACACACAGATTTCACGACGATATATCACTTCATATATTTCGACACAAGAACTGCAGTACCCAGTTACTGTGGGGATATTTACTGACGGGTCTCTAGCTCCGTTTTCTACCGGACGCTGACCATTCCAACAGAGGCTCTCATAAACAAGGCGGTCTCACTCGTACCACCAGCACGTTATCATGGTTCTCTAATGACCCAACTAGGCCTTCGATGTGATATCAAGTTCACTAAGATGTCTCATATATCTAACCCTGCAGGCTATGTGCCACCTGCAACCACTCTTCTTGGTGATGCTGCAGATCCACTTGATGCTATCGCTGATGAGATGCTGGGAAAACAGGGGCAGACGGGATGAAATGAGACGCGTGGATCACCCATCCTAGTAACGGCATGTGGACGCAGCTCCCTCCTTCACTCACACACACCTGAGGAAGACACAGATATAGTTATTGGTATATTATTATAAATATTGTATTGACCAAATTTTATATATATATATATATATATATATATATATATATATATATATATATATATATATATATATATATATATATATATATATATATATATTGTGATTGTTATATATTGTGTCAAATATAAAATTGTGATTGTTAGTCATTAGAAAATCAACTGAAAGTAAACCAGATGAACTGCGAGAGATGAATAGCAAGAGCTCATCTCAAGGCCATGACTTTCATTACCAATTTCAGTGTGTGATGATAGATGAGAATTACTCGTGATTTGCGAAAGTTTGTTCGTTTTCCGCTCACACTCTTTGTTCCATATTGGCCGATGTATACATATCTGTATCTTGCAGGTGACATTTTGAGAACAGGGGTGAGTGGGCAGCCGCAGAGAAAACACACACACACACACACACACACACACACACACACACACACACACACACACACACACACACGAGCAAACAATTAGCGGAGAACGAGAGACAGACAAACTTTACACGACCTGTTCTGACCAACAAAAACGCGAGCGTGTACAAACACACACACACACACACACACACACACACACACACACACACACACACACACACACACAACACACACACACACACACACACACACACACACACACCAACCACGCACGCTATCAGGAATGAAGCCATGCACACAGATAAACCACCATGCACGCAAGAATAGTGGCCGCCATGCTCACAGATAATCTACCACATAATATATAAAGAGTTGTTTTAGTGGTTCAAACTAGATGATAAATGTTTCAACGCTGACACAAGACATTACAGAACGAGTCTGGTGATATTTACACGAATGAATTGGAACCCAGTTGATGAGCAATTGATATTCACGTGCAAACGTAATTAAGGATATGACTTTGACATTCCTCTGTTTAATCTTAAAGGTTTCATTGTCATTCATTAGGGAACTTATATGCAAAAAAAGACATCATTTTAACCTTTGGAGGTCTTAACTTTCTTACTGATGGGCACTAGTGCTAAAAACAGTTAATGAGGAACATAGCACAGATGACCTAAGTTATAATAGAGTCTCATTTGATTTTGATATGAGACGGTTCTCTTCGGTAAATTTTGTTCAGAGTTTATTGGTAAGCTTTGTTCATACTGTGAGTGAACATACCGCAACAAGTGGTGTTGGATATTTCCAACATCGAATACAACATTGTTGTATTCTCATTACTTATTACTAACCATATTAATATTGTAGTAAGTAAAATTAACAACTCGTAGAATTCTCCTGTACTAATAATTCATCTGTGCATTAGGCTAGAATTCTCACGTCATCTGACGCTAGTATTGCGTCAGATTTCTTTACAGTAAAACACATTATATACAATTTGTGTGAGAATTAAATACGATTCTCCATAATTAAAGCATTCTGTATGACAACTGATTGCAGACGAATTGTTTTCTAACTAAAAGCCGAATAGAGCGTTAGAATTATACCGTCTACCTCGCGGTAGTGTTAACGTCATCAATGAATGCTATGGGGAGACATTAATTCCTCTCCCTTGTATCTTTACTATTCTTAAATAGTTAAATAATAATATTCCGTTCCTCTAAATAATAAACCCGTCCAGTCTTTAGAGTTTCAAGCGCGAATGCGAGAAATATTAATGTTCATGCCAATAATTTGTGTAATGAACGTCGACTCGGCGTGGGGGGAGGTACTACTGGTAGTTATTTATCTTGCAGCTCGAGAGACGAATTCCTCATGCTGTCTTCTCCATGTTAACCGTGTCATTCGTCGGTGTACCAGACTTGGAGATTAAGAGGACTGCCAGAGTTATCTAAAGGAATCTATTACCAGCTAAGGCTTATTTCTTTTTATTCATAACTATGCAATTTGATACATTCAGAATGTACAACATAATGTGTGATTTACTGTAACTCATTATTATGCTCATATTCATGTTCTTCTTTGTATGAATAATATTATATTCCACATTAATTATAGGATTAGATTATTATTAATAGAATTAGTGAACGAACCACACTGATTCCTGGACGTACTGACCTCCAGTAATAACCCCCCAATGTAGGTGTTTGAGGTTTGGTTTTTATTAATACAGCCCATTAATTATTCTTATGATCATACTTTCTAGTCATATCCATAGTCACTGGTTTTCTCTAGAATTTTATCTAATGATCTGAAATTCTCAGTTTCCCTCTTTCCTTTAAAAGCGGGTGGTCCTTCGTAATTTAATTTACTACTTTAATTATTAATAAATCAGAATCAAACCCAAATATCCCACAAGTGGCATGTTCAACACACCATTAATGGGATAAATCCGATGATTCGTTCATACTGTGAGTGAACATACCGTAACAAGTGGCATGTTCAACACACCCTTAATGGGATAAATCCGATGATTCGTTCATACTGTGAGTGAACAAGGCTGCTATAACACGTACAGCAGTTCGTCTAAGTTTTCTTTTCTCTCCATGCCAATTGCACAACTACACCACACTCAATAAACTTCCTGCCTTGGCCAGAACTCATCAAGTATTTACACAACTACCTGCGAAACCTCTATGTCTTTCAAGAGCCATGACGGGTTTGTTTACACTTTTTAAATTGTTTACGAGCTTCGAAACTCCGAAATTTATGGTTAGAGTTGTTATAAACAACCTTGTAGTGCTTAGTAGCTCATTAACTTAAATAGAGGTTTATGTGGGCGGTAGTGGCCCCCCATACCCATCCTGAAGGCGGTAGTGGACCCCTATACCTATCCTGTGGGCGGAAATGGACCCCCATACCTATCCTGTGAGGCAGTAGTGGACCCCATACCCATTCTGAGGGCGGTAGTGGACCCCCCATACCCATCCTGAGGGCGGTAGTGGACCCCCATACTCACCCTGAGGGCGGTAGTGGACCTCATACCCATCCTGAGGGCGGTAGTGGGTCCCCATGCCCATCCTGAGGGCGGTAGTGGACCCCCATACCAATCCTATGGCAGGTAGTGGACCCCCATACCTATCCTGTGGGCGGTAGTCGACCATATACCCATCCTGTCGGCTGTGATTGACCCCATACCCATTCTGTGGGCAGTAGTGCACCCCATACTCATCGTGTGGGCGGTAGTTGAAAGAGTTACAGAGGCACATAATGTATTCAACTAGGCAAGTTACAGTTTTGGTGAGCTAGTTACATAATTCAACGCACATCGTCACATCTTGGCGCCATTCTTCGCTAGTTCATTTGTTACACAGCCTTATTCTCTTTTAATAATTGTCAAAAAGGTTCCATATGTAGTCTCTCGTAGTTTAATGCTTCATCATATATTAATCCGTCCCCTTGGTCCAGCACGGCCTGAATCGTCATCACTTTCTTCCACTTAGATGTGTGAGTTGGGTTGTGTGTGTGGGTTGGGTTGTGTGTGTGTGTGTGTGTGTGGGTTGAGTTGTGTGTGTGGGTTGGGTTGTGTGTGGGTTGGGTTGTGTTGGGTTGTGTGTGTGGGTTGGGTTGTGTGTGTGTGTGTGTGTGTGGGTTGAGTTGTGTGTGTGGGTTGGGTTGTGTGTGGGTTGGGTTGTGTTGGGTTGTGTGTGTGTGTGGGTTGTGTGTGTGTGTGTGTGTTTGTGGGTTGGGTTGTGTGTGTGTGTGTGGGTTTGGTTTATTGCCTACGTTATTTGTAATGTGTTAAAATAATTATTGCTTGATTTTCCGCCGGACACTAGATTAGGTTCCGTGTGATTTGCTTCAGTGAGCAGAACCTTCGAACGACAGACAATAAACCGAACCCTTGACCAGTTTACTGACGGCGCGTCGACCTTTTGCTATACGGCACAATTGTTCAGTTCAATGCCATATTCTAGAAATTAAAAGGACCAAAAAAACAAAATCCAAATACCTGAAGACTCTTCGATCTGTTTTAAGAGTGATGACTTAGACTGACCTTCAAGAGTGATGGCTTAGACTGACCTTCAAGAGTGATGGCTTAGACTGGGTATTAAGTGTGATGGCTTAGACTGGGCTTTAGGAGTGGTTCCAGATTGTCAATTCGCCGACTGGAAATGTGGCCATTTATATTAGAGCTTGGCATAGAGCACACAGGTCTGTTATGAATATAGATAGCAGGTCTGGTGCTCACCAGCCGTGTTTGTGATTCAAGGGGCGGCCACACTTAACTGGGGACAGACGATTCGTTATTGTTAATGCATAAGGGAGCCAAGTTTGTACAGTGCCGCTGTGCTGGGTCAAAAAGACTAATGATAGTGTAGATTACACCTGTTTTTAGTGCTCCTCTACAAATTATAGTACTTGTAGGGATGGTTCTGTGGATAAAATGTTTGGAATATGAACTGCTCGACCTTGTAAAAGTCCGCGTTTTGTACTGTTGGACTTTTAAAAGATATAAACCATTTTAAAAGTTCATATTTTACGCATTCAATCCGCAGTCATAGGAACACACGAATAAAGAAGCCATGGAAGGCTTATTGGCCCATACGAGGCTGATTTTATTATATCCTCTAATTATAATTTAATTATTATTTATATATTATAATTAATTTATTATATTTAAACTTACGTGTCGCTGCCATGTCATCCGTGGCAGCGCTAAGAAGCCACTATCGCTTAGTATTCAAGACTTGTACGTCCAACCAAAGTTGGACGTACAGCAAGTCCGATTTATCAAGGTCCTCGTAAGCGACCCGACAACAGTTCCTTCCCTCCCGGCTGCCTATTTAGTGCTAGGTGAACAGAGGCAGCAGGTGAATTTAAATAAACTGTTTCTGGGTATCGAACCCAGCAGCATTCTGGGACGTAGATTATTGCTCAACAAGACCCATGAAGCCCTTGGCACATAGGGCTTTTGTAACACATTGTGTTTATAAAGTGCTTGGGAAGGAATACCAGAACATAGAACAAGGATGTAAGAACAAGGAACTGAGTTGTAAGAACAAGGAACTTGAGTTGTAAGA